CACAGTATTGACATAGAGGAACCAGTAAGCCCTGCAGGGGACCAAGAAGATGGACATTCCAGAAGTGTACGTTTCCCATTAGACTTCAAGAGACAATTACCTAGGATCAGAGCAGCGTTCAACATCACGGGCAGCAGGGGCGATAAGTATTCTGTTTCTTCTTTACAGGTACACGTTTGAGAGCTTTTATTTATGTATCAGGGTCACTAAAATATTAAAAACAAGCTTATACAAGATGTTAGTGAGTGGGTTTACATTCACTTTATTTTATTAAAATACTGCAGACGAGTCCTGGAAAACGCAAATCATTCCCTTCCTGGAATTTAAATCCCATAACAACCTTTGTATGACTTTTTAGAAAATGACTTCTACCTTAAAGTATCAGCTGCCTAAGTCTCACAAAATGTAGGATCCTTGGATCACCGGCAAATTCTGCCCACTCTCTCCTCATGATTTAACTTCCATTTGGACCTGAGTGGCACCTGGCCCAACACCAGTGAGCTCCCCTTTCCCTCTTTTTTATCCTTCCTACTAAGTCCCACTCCGCCCCCCCAATCCTTCTTCTCGAATCCCCTGCTCTCAATTTCTATTTTAATTATGCTTTTTTTTAACATTTCTTATCCTTCAACGTTGCCCGCCACACTTGCACCCCAGGACGTTCCATCTTTTACCCTTTATTCCTTGGGCCGGACGTCCCTAGGATTGTTACTCATAGCGAATACTACAAACCAAAAGTTTTGAGAATGACACAAATATTAATTTTCACAAAGTCTGCTGCTTCAGTTTGTATGATGTCAATTTGCATATACTCCAGAACGTTATGAAGAGTGATCAGACCAATTGCAATGAATTGCAAAGTCCCTCTTTTCCATGAAAATGAACTTAATCCCGCCAAAAAACATTTCCACTGCATTTCAGCCCTGCCACTAAAGGACCAGCTGACATCATGTCAGGGATTCTCTCATTAACACAGGTGCCAGTGTTGAGGAGGACAAGGCTGGAGACCAGTCTGTCATGCTGAATGTGTTAGAATAACAGACTAGAAGCTTTGAAAGGAGGGTGGTGCTTAAAATCATTGTTCTTCTTCTGTTAACCATGGTTACCTGCAAGGAAGCACATGTAGTCATCATTGCTTTGCACAAAAGGGATTCACAGGCACGCATATTGCTGCTACTAAGATAGCACCTAAAGCAACCATTTATCGGATCATTAAGAACTTCAAAGAGAGAGGTTCAGTTGCTGTGAAGAAGGCTTCATGGCGCCAAAGAAAGTCCAGCAAGCGCCAGGACTGTCTCCTAAAGTTGATGCAGCTGCGGGATCGGGGCACCACCAGTGCAGAGCTTGCTCAGGAATGGCAGCAGGCAGGGGCGAGTGCATCTGCACACACAGTGAGGCGAAGACTTTCGGCAGATGGCCTGGTGTCAAGAAGGGCAGCAAAGAAGCCACTTCTCTCCAGGAAAAATATCAGGGACAGACTGATATTCTGCAAAAGGTACAGGGTTTGGACTGCTGATGGGTAGTCAATTTCTCTTTTGAATCCCCTTTCTGATTGTTTGGGGCATCTGGAAAATACCTTGTCCAGAGAAGAAAAGGCGAGCGCTACCATCAATCCTGTGTCATGCCAACAGTAAAGCATCCTGAGACCATTCATGTGTGGGGTTGCTTCTCAGGGGAGTGGGTTCACTCACAATTTTGCCTAAGAACACAACCATGAATAAAGAATGGTACAAAAACATCCTCCAAGAGCAACAAGAACAGTTTGGTGAGGAACAATGCCTTTTCCAGCATGGTGGAGCACCTTGCCATAAGGCAGAAGTCATAACTAAGTGGCCTGGGGAACAATACAATCACAATTTTGGGTCCATGGCCAGGAAACTTCCCAGACCTTAATCCCATTGAGAACGTGTGGTCAATCCTCAGGAGGAGGGTGAACAAACCCCCCCACACAAATTCTGACAAACTCCAAGCATTGATTATGCAAAAATTGGGCTGCCATCAGTCAGGATGTGGCCCAGAAGTTGATTGACAGCATGCCAGGGTGAAGTGCAGAGGTCTTGAATAAGAAGGGTCAACACTGCAAATATTGACTCTTTGCATAAACGTAATGTAATTGTCAATAAAAGCCTTTGACAGTAATGAAATGCTTGTACTTATACTTCAGTATACCAGAGTAACATCTGTCAAGAAGATTTTAAAACACTGAAACAGCAGACTTTGTGTCATTCTCAGAACTTTTGGCCACAACTGTACACAGCTTGTACTCAGTAATCTTGAGCTGCATTTAGTTGCATAAATTCAAAAGTAGAAATTTCTGCGTCCAGTCAGTATTTCTGCATAATTTATGCGTGGACACATGAAAATGCACATACCCTGTTTCCCCGAAAATAAGACCTAGTTGTGACCATTCCCAGGGCCGGTGGTGGCATAAGGGGGAACTTGAAGAGCCGCGGGAAAGATTCAGCGGTGCCAATGAAGACAGCGCGAGAGGAAGTGAGGGGGCAGCGTAGGGAGCAGAGCCGCATAAGCCGATGTTTCCTCTATAGCGCCGGCTCCTGTCACAGACGGACTGATACCAAATGCATTCTGCCTGTGAGGAATCGATAGTGAAAGTGCGCTTCATTCATTCTTGTTACCAAATTGCTCTTGGAAAGGTACGGTGCCCCTGATTGCCCTGATCACCATATTTTTGTGCATGAATACATGTAGACTTTTCTACATGAATACATGTGGATTGTTGTACATTAAAAAAAATATAAGACCTACGCCGCAAATAAGACCTAGTGTGTTTTTTTGAGCTCCAAAAAATATAAGACAGTGTCTTAATTACGGGGAAACACGGTACATGCCTATGACTGAAAACTGAGCTAGAGGACTGGAAGAAGAATTGTTTGCACATGACCATTTTTGGCCCCATTCACACCTGTGCGTCTGGATATTCATGCATCTTTTTATGCATGTTTTTGATGCGATGACAAGCAGTATCTGCTATAACATCATTAGGCGTCACCGTCCCTGTATCTGCTTCCTGCTTGTTCTGTGTTGTGGTTTCTGAGCAATCTTGAAGAACTCTGGGCATAAATATTCTTAACCTTGCAGTGTTGTTACCCCTGCATTGCAAGGGTTGTGTTTGTTTTCATCCAAGAACAAAAAAAGTTATACTGACCTGAACCTCAGACAGGCCCCTGCAGCCTCTCCCCTCCCCTGGCACGCTAAGGTCCTGTGAGTCATCACGTCTAATACAGTGTATAGGACGTGAGGATGCTGAAGGACATTCCATCCCAGGAGCAGAGAGGGTGCAGGGACTAGTATAGCAGCCAGCTGACTCTGAGGTTCAGGTGAGCATAACTGTTTTTATTTCCCTTCTTAGATGGAAATGAGCCCTTAACCTTTGCAGTGCTGGTGTAGACGCTGCCTCTGGTGCTTGCAGCAATCCTTGTAAGTGTGTCGCTGGGATTGTACAGCAATGTCCTTGTCCTCATCGGCTGTATTAGTTCTTCCACGTCAAGCATGGTGTGGCCTGCGCGCTCCATCTTCCTATGCAGTCTGGCTAGATGTTGCTAGAAAAAGACTGGTTGTTATGCACCAAAATGCATGTAAATGTGTCTTTCACACACTCCCATGGAAATCTTTGTTGCACCAAAAGAAGCCCCTGTGCACTTTTCTAAGTTGCATGGCAGCACAATGCATAGGTGTGACTGGCCTCATAGAAAATACTGAGAGGCCGGTGATGGACAATGCATGCCAAATCATAAACAAAGACTTTATGGACATTCATGTGTCTGAACTGGAGCACTTTTCAGCACAGGATCTTTCTGCTAGCATGATCCAGCACAGATATCCATAGGCCCAGCGTGCATGAGCCCCAGGCTGCCTGGGACACCCACCACAACAGACCCCTATAAAGAGGGCAAGCTGATCTCCACCATCCCACAATGCACTGCGCCGGTGTCCCTTCACATAACTGGGTTTTACCCTCCCAGCCATTCTGCCTGCTTACCGATATGGGTGTGCTTACTGTCGGCCTTCATGGACGCTCTGTGACTGGCACGACCCTCCCTGTGCATGGCGGATTATAAAAGAACATCTCACAGAACAATGAACTTTACCGGACCTGCCGGGCCCTGCTGTTGACAGACATGAACCCACGGCTCATTCTCGGCGCATGCGCAGTAGAGGCCAGGGCTGC